GACAAAAGGGTTGAGTTGGCCGAAGTAGGTGCTGTATATACGGGGTTCGTGAAGTTTGTCTTCTGAGTGCACTGAACACGGTTTGGGCAACCACCTTAGACAGTGAACATCCCCTTGATCACCATTTCGACTACCAAGACATGGACATGGCCGCACTTTCAAAAGGACCGGCGTCGAAGAACGTGCACCTTCCATCCAACAAACATGCTTTGATGGAAAGCGGACCCTGTGTAGAGGAGACTTGTCTTGCAAAGGGGCAATGTCATTCACTTGCACATTGCACGTCTTTAGTTTGTTGGAGAATTGTTGAGGACAGGTACCTCCCAAGTTCACTCACCTAGATTTGCTACAATGGTGCTGCGCGGTCGCGGTAGCAAGACGGGTTTTGGGCGCTTCTCACCAGGCGCTGCGGGAGAGCTTGGCGGAGAAGAGCAAGGTGCCAGAAGTTGAAACAACACGGGAATCACGAAAAGAGACGTTTTCAGAAAGGAGACCCAGTTGGGTGAAAAGAGACGAGTTCTAAATCGGTTCTAGCATGTTTTGGTTCTTCTTCTTCTTCTTTTCAAAGTCTGATCCTTCGCTTCTTTGCCTCTCGGGTTCGCGGGAGAGTCGGGTCACGGCTGAGCCAGTCGTCCGAGCGGCCAAAACGGTGTGACCCTCGGGTGGAAGAGGTGGCGTTTGTAGATTCAAATAGGGAGACCTCCCAGGCAACGACCCCTGCAAGGTTCGGGACATAGACCAAGCTACCCAGCCGATCGGGGCGATCGGGGATGTCGCTTATACAAATTCCCACCCAATTGAGTGGATTTGGTGAACCTCTTTTGTGTCCCTGGGTCACCTCTCCAAGCCCCCCAGCTCCTCAAGCAGCTTCGGGTTCACCAGCTCCCACCTCGTGCCTCCGCCACGTTGCTTGCAAGGCCAAAGAGTCCCTGCAGCGTGACCTGAGCATGTGGAAGGCCACGGAACCATGGACCGTTTTGTTTGCGGCTTTGGCCCTTCGGAGCGGTGGCAACGTGTGATGTTCCCTGGTCCTCCGCGGAAGAATGGTCGCCGATCGAAGCGGCGACCATTTCTGGCCGTCGCCAGCAGGTGTCAGGTGCCACCCCACAAGCCCTCCATGTTTTTGAGCATCTGACCAAACTTCCTGTACATGTACTTGAGTCAGGAGCGGCCGTACAAGCATTTCTGGATTGATCGAAGCATATTCAGATTATCATCATATATAATTCTCCACCATTTCCTGTCATATGCCCACCGCAGGGCCAGCAGGAGATTGCAGCGAAGATGAAGGCCCCAGGGCTTGGCAGATGGGATCTGAAAGCATCAGTGTCCAGCCAAAAGGGGATAGTTGATGCGTCAATCCTCCAAAAAGGGTGATGTGATGATTGCACAAAAAAAGGGAGACTTGTTGGAGTAATGTTGGGACATTGAAAGTCAAATGAACGTGCGTATGCGCATGGACAAGTTGTAAGTTGTGTTGCATTCTTTGTCTCCAACTCTGTTGCGACCTGTCCTCAAAGACAGGGATTCGTTTCCGTTGGAATTCTCTTAGGCTGAGGTGGAGAAAGACTTCGAACATTTCAAGGAGGCCGTCTTCGAAGACCGTTTCGATCGGTGAACATCACCTGGGGCGTTCATGGGAGGTTCATTTTAAAAGAAACGTATATCGGCATCGGATTGTAATTATAGGATCCTGCCTTTGAGCATGCAACCTTCCAGGATTGGGCATAGGCCAGTTGGTTTCGGTGCGGCCAGGCCGCCTTTTTGGCCCCTCAGTAGGGTGCAGCTAATGAGCCCGTGGGTTTCGTCCGATGTCCCAAATTCTGGGTGTGTATTGTGACAGAGAGATCTCCAAGCAATGGGTTTGGGTCTATTATCCTTCTTTCAGGGGGTAGCCCAAACCAGATGAGTTTCCCCACATCTGGCCAGATGGAAACTGGGCCAGTCAGAGGGCTGCAGTTGGGTAGAAGTTAGCTGCCCTCACTCGCCGCTGCAGTCGAGACGAAGTGGGCTTTTGGGTCAAAAGGAGTAAGGAGAGTTCTGTTCTGCCAGGGGTTTCAATTGATGACTGGGGCAGTGAGGCCCAATCCTTCTCCACACGGCCTTCAGGCCTTCCAGGCCTTCCAAGCCAAGCAAGAAGGATGGTTGCATGTCAGAAAGAAGCAGACGCAATCCGACGATGGGCGATCAACTTCTTTGATTCCTTGGTTGTGTCTCCTATGGTTGGTGGACTTTTGTTTGCCCCCAGGGTTTTTCATGTCCCCAGAACGGGCAGAACTGAGCCAGTGAATGGCCACGGTGTTGCAGGAGTTCTTGGGCAGAAGGCTGTTCGAGAGAAAAGAAGAGTGGCTTGGTGGCACCTGGGTGGGACTATGGTCTCTGCCGGGTAGCAAGCCCAAAAACGGGAACAGAGAGCATGGCTGAAGCGCTGCAGGAGGGCTTGTGTGATAGGTCATTCATTGCTCAAGTGAAACGCGCCAAATTGAGCAATGCAGCCACCTGCTCAGCTACTTTGCTGGGCCAGGTTGGTTTCGAATCAGTTTCCCTTCTAGGAAAGGCACTTAGGTCCTGGCATATTTTGCCCTTCCAAACACCACCCAAGTTGCTGTTTTGGAGTTATGACGTTTTGGTGGTGGGTTTCATCTCAGGCATGAAGCCTTGCGCAAGAAGCAGGCATGGAGACTGACTTGGAGAAATGACTGGGAGAAGATGATCCTTGCAGAGGTTGAAGAACCCACATCAGTTATAGCCTATCATATCCCATATATGTGCACATGTATCTCTTTTTTTGAGGCCTCCTCCCATGTTTGGTCTGTTGGTAGAGGTTCACACTTCAAGGACATCGTTCTGTATTGACCCGAAGACTTGAGGCGGACTTGCAAACGAAGAAGTCCGCACTGGAAGAGGAGGCAGATCCGTCATCTGCGTCATTCGATTGTTGCATTCATTTGTTTATTTGACAGTCAGACTGATGTGTTTTCTCCAAGTTTTACAGGTCTTCTATCTTTTCGTGTGGTCTTTTCTTGGTGACATTTATATATGGCATAGTGTGGGCATTCTTAACCTTGAATGGGCAAGAAAGAGCTAAAGGGCCGGCACACACACACACACACACACACACACACGCATATCTGACCTTTCTTCGTTCGTTTCTGTGCATGATGTCTGGTACTTGCTGAAGTTATGGCGAGGTGATTTCAAAAAGACCGTACTTTTTGACCTTTGTCAATGTACCTTCAATGTGCACTCTCAGTGAAACTGGGCCCCGGCCTGGTCTGTTTTTCGCCAGATCTCCGAAGGAAACACTATGACATGCCGCTCCGACCACGGTTCCGCCGCTCCGACCACGGTGCCTTTTTCGGAGAGGTGCGGAAGTTGGAAGCGGATCTGCAGGCCGGGTTTGCGGGTGTGCTGGGCGGGCCCCGAGGGGTGCGGGGGTCTAGCACGACTCATGTTGAGTCCAGGGAAGAGCTGCACGGGAGACCGGAGGGAGGACCCCATGCCAGATACAGGATCATTGCAACTACCAATGGGGCAAATCTTCCGCTCAACGGCTGTGTTTTTTCGTGTGGCTCCCTTAAAAGGCACTGGTACCGAGACAGGAAAACGTAAATTTCTTGAAAGTTTGTGAACACCACTTTCAGAGCTCCCAGCCAGCTGTTCTTCCTTTTTTCCCCAGCTCCCAAGCCCCCCACGGCTTTTTCATTTCTTCTCCCCTGGTGCACCACCCTCCGTGACCCGTCCTCCATCCCGGTGTTTGGGGAGGCACAGGACCTGCAGGAAGCTCAGCGGCAACAGGGCCTGGCTGAGCTGCGCCGAGAGGTGGGACGTATAGGTGTTGTGAAAGGGAAGTATGGGGGGTGTGCTTGGTGGATCACGATCTGGAACGACCTTTTGGTCCGCTATGGGGAGGCTATGGGAGGCTAAACCCCTGCTGTTTCACACCAAAGGCCGGGGATCGATTCCCCCTTTGGCAGAGCTTCCCCTTTGCAGATCGCCTCGCCGCGTGAGGTGCTGGCAGAGGCGGAGCGGACGAAGCAGAAGCTGCAGGAGGCGCGAGGTTTGGATGGAGGACACCGGACACCATCCGGACACCATCGGCATGTTGAAATGTGTTGAATGGACGACCCAGCCCAATGACTTCTCCCTTCTTCCCATCCCCCAACCGGTTCCGAAAACGGACCATGGACCGACCGAGCAAGTTCCAGAACAGCACGCCCCGTTTTTCGCCTGCTGTGGAGGCTACGGCTACAGGTTCTCATGCTTGGAGCCGGTGGAACCACTTGAGGGATGGACTACAGCGACACATCAACGCATCGACACTTCCTTCTGGCGACCCTTGCTTTGAGGATTTTGAGGGGAGTATTTGACATTTTTCTATATTTTCCGGCACATGTCCTCGCAAGACCTTGCCATTACAACAAGTTGTACTTGTTGGCTTCTGGCGATGTCGCTCACCGTCACATGAGGTCGAAGCCTCCCTCACGGCGGCCAAAGCCGAGGCCCGTTCGGGCCGTTCGGCAGCCACTGCCCTGGCTCCCCGGGTGCGGCGGCAGGTTGTAGACTTCGAGTGACGCATTTCCGGCGCAGACCGAGTGGCACCAGATATTGAGGTGTTGGCTCCAGAGGTGTTGGCAGGTCCCGATCTTTTTCTTTTCGTTTTCACTGAGAAAGCGGATGTCAAGGATTGCCGCAGACGGCCTTTCTCGCTATGGCTCCAACCGCAGCCATGACAGACCGAGTAACGGCCGTTTCTCGCATGAGAGAGCACAAAAGCTGTCCTCCAATAGATATGCAGAGTTCAGGAAATCAACAGTCAAGATTTCGCCAACACATTCTGAATTCTATAGAAATGGATAGCACCTGAAAGAGGAAGATAATCATGTCGTCCTTCGGCTCCAAACATGCATTAGACGCCTTGACTTCCTTTGACTACAACTGTCTCGCATGGACATGCCCCGCCCCAAGAAACGAGCAGCAATTCAGATACTCCCACTTTAGGGACGAGGACAGCTGTCCTCACCCCCGATGGTGGGAGCCCTATCGAAGGCGCGGAACGACGGTTCTTCGTTGGCATGCCCCTCTGGATGTCCGGTACGACCACCGTTTTCTCGGCCAGGAGAGCCATGGCGGCTGCTTCCAGTTCGCTGACCTGGCGACCGCAGGCGCGCGCGACCGGTGGGGCTGAGTCGAAGCCGACCCCCTCGAGGAGGTGTGACGCTGCTTGGGTTGAACTGGGTGCCTTGAGCCTGTCTGTCAGCCTTTTATGGGTCTAATTATGTCAGCTCCTTAGACAACCTGCACACATGAAGATTCGGATGGGCGAAACAAGACCCTGCACAAAGACAGACCTGGAGTTCCTGGAGTCTCAAAGTTCTGAAGTACCATTGAACTGTTTTTAGGCCAGACCAATTTTGCCCCCCGAATTTTTGGACCTGCAGCACCCGCATCCCCAGGCCAGCCCGGAAAGCCTGCAGATGCCCGAGCGCGACGCCCGCGACGGGCGCCGTTCGCCCTTCGGCGCGGCCGCGGCTGCGCGGGCCACGCATTCGGCGGTGCTGGGGCCGCAGACCCATCGGCTGCCGTCGAAGGTGATGTGGAGCTGCTCGGATGAGGAGGAAAAAACACATGTCGAAGGTGATGTGGTTGAGATTGTGTAGCACTGGGGCCCAGGAGCGGCCCCACGGGTGTTGAAGGCGGATTTCCCTGGGGGGCGGGATTTCCACTGAGTTGGTGCGTGAAGAGAGATTTCTCGGCCCACTACCCCCAAAGAGATCCTTCCGAAAAGAGAATGGCACCTTCATTCTTCAGATCCTCATGCGTCCACTGCGTCCACCCTCCAAACCCCAAAAAGACCTTCCAAATCCAAAGCACCTTTCAACTCTCTTGCACTTCTGGGAATTCTCTTGGCCCCCCAAATCCCTCCCAACCTCCCAACCTCCTGCCCCCCCCACTCCAGGCGTGACGATGCTCACGGCCTCGGCGGTGGCGCTCATGAACTTCGGCGCCCTGGCACCGGCAGCGGTGAAACGGTGGTGGGGACACGAGGGCGTGCAGTGCAGGTGCTTTTTGAATGAGCAGTAGAAGTGGGTTTGCTGCATTTCCATGTTCACTCTCTTAGTGACAGGCAGGTAAAAGTTTGAACAAACCTGGAGAATGTACCTGTCTAGTCACGACAACAATTCTGAGCGTATTCTGGGCTCAGGGGATTGTTCATTATGACTCAAGAGTCAATCCTGGAACTCGGTGACCAGGCACAAAAGATGGCCCAAAAAATGGCCGGACCATCCAAAAACGTCATGATGTAGTTATCTCAAAAAGAATCTATATCATGTTCTCATATGTTATCAAAACCAGGAGCAATACATGTATCCAGCCAAAAGGTACTGGTCTCCCGGTACCTTAAACAACAAAAGGGTATTTTCTCTGGGCCCGTCTCTCCCACGGGCATCGTGGGATCTCATTCACCATCAATGCTGTTATGGAGAACTCATCCGGAACATCCAGAAACCGGATCGTAATATTGTCGGCTAAAGTGGCAAAACACACCACATTGCCGTATGCAAGCAGTTTCAAGCAGATTTGTGCAAGCAAACAAGTGAGCAGGTGCCAAGTATCCTTCAGTGATATTGGCTACACTATCAACCTCCAAACAAAAGGACGCCAACAAAGGACTGATATTCACTACTCTGGGGTTATCTCTCCAGTGAAGATCCAGGCGAACCTTCCAGTGACTCAGGTATGATCTTGGCCATCAAGTGGTTGGTGGGTCTCAAGTTTTCCACGATGCAAAGAGCCATCGTTGAATCAGGCTGGGCTAGGCGAAACTTGCGTGACGTGCTGTGCGAAGCGCGGTGGGTATGGGGGCCAGCACAGGTTTGGGTGATTGGTAGGGGGTAGGTCAATCAAACCCAGTTATAAGTTATATATCTTAAGACAATACATCACACACACATGTTTGGTGTTTCCTAGAGTCCTAGAGCCTGCACATGATGGAGCCATCACCCCCTGAAGTCCAGGATGCGAACCATCTCCCGAGGCCTGAAGAACGGGGTGTTTCCATGTCTTCTTGTTCGAGCGGGGGGTGGGGAGCCGCGCTTGCGAGCACCTTGCGAGCACCTTGCGGCTTCGGCGGCTTTTTCGGGGGAACCGCACCCGATGGACCTTCGATGGAGAAGGGTCATGAGTCATCCCTTTGATCACCTGTTGCCGAACGGCCTACCGCCTGGCGGCCGCCGAACCGGCCGGCCGCCTGGTGCCTTTTTTTTAGCTCTCTTCTCATGTGCAGAGGGCGCACTGCCTGACGGCATTGGATCCGACTTCAAGGACCCTTTCTATTTTCCACTCAACAAGGCCTCGATGAACCAATAAGCATGGCCGTGGATCGCAGGGAGGTGAGGTAGCAGATGATGGGGGACCTCCATCTGAATGACGGGAACCTCCATTTTCTTGTGGTTTTCTGGGTCCACCTTGAACCAGGTGTGCTTCATGGAATTCTGGTCTTAGTCTTGATCTCCACCAGCTATGCGGTCGTGGGGGTCTGCCTCATCCAGCTCCTTGGATCATAGACTCGACCGCTTGGGCTCTGTGCCACTGGGAGAGTTGGTGAGTGGGTCAAGCACATTGAAGCCGCCATGGGGTGCCACTCCTGAGCGGCTTCTTCGAGTTGTGAAAGTCTCACCACACGGATCTGTGGAAGAGGATGCCGTTCGAACGAGGCGTTCAGAGGTTTGAACATGCATGGGCGAGAACCGACCTGACTTCTGCTTTCTATTTGGGTGGTGTGTTCAAAAATAGGCACTCGAAACATATCATCTCCACTGCTTCCCCTTCGACCCAAACACCTCGACGCGGTTCGTGGCGCCAGGTTCGTGGCGCCCAGCTTTGGTGGTTCCGGCATCCCCGAGAACAAAGCCTTTCTCAATGGGGCACAGATGCCGGGCCTCTACAGCGACTTGGACGGTTTGGGACTGTGCGGAGTGGCCAGTTGAGAGCTGGCCGAAGAGCCGGGGTGTGATTTCTTGGATGTGGTGGGCTGTCGGATGCCTTCGGAAGCTCCTAACTTGCTGTGAGGTTCGAGAGCGATGTTCGATGTTCGTGAGTATGCGGACGTGCCGCCTTAGCAGAATACACCAAAGGAGGCCCACACACAAGGGCTTTAGGGTTTAGGGTCAAGTCGGAGACGTTCATCATGGGGTCGAATTCTCCTGTTATTATATTTCCCTAGGGATCCAGTCGTACCTTCTCAGGTACGGTGATGTGTTCGACACTCTCATTGTAGGTGCCACGGTGCCGTCGGGTCCAGTCGTACCAAGTTCTGAGGTTCGGTACGAAAACGGATCCCTAGGGCTTTCGATGTGTCCAAGCTGGAAATCCACTCCATCCTTCTCCGGAAGAACACCCGCTCCACACCTCAGGACCTTCCGAGACGTTCCTTCGAGACGGTGCCCCGTTTTTGATCCTATCGATTTGGGATCCCCCAAGCCTGATCGAACAGTTGATCCCCCCACTCTCCCCAGTACAAAATAGGAAACCGTTTCTATTGATCTAGGGGAACCACTTATAAAATACATTAATAATCCTAGAACCTGAGCGAACAATGTAGTCTTTTCCCATCAAAACAGAGATCATATGGGTTCTAGGCTACGATATGTTCCACCCACCTTCCGCCACTCCACGGGTTCGCCGACCGACTGCACCGCAGTGAGGCCATCGCACCTGCTGGGTGCGCGCGGGCACCAACATCTTGGCCAACGCCGCCGGATTCCCCGTGGGGCGAGAAGGGCCGATGGTGACCATCGGCAGCAACCTCGCTTACTTGCTCTGCCGCTTTCTCGCGGCAGTGGTGAGAAGGGCGGGATGTGGGGGGACTGGTTTGGGAGGGAAGGCCTTTATTGGGGGGAAGTGGAAGGTGGGTGGTTGGGTTTCTGGCGGTTGGAGGGGTGGGGGGTTGCTAGAGGTTCCGTTTGGATGGGATTGAGACAACTGGGGGTCTCTAACGGTCGAAGGTATGCAGCTCTATGCTGACTCGAAGGGTCGAAAGGTCGTGTTTTCGTGCACTTCGCACTTCTCACTGCATCCGCCAACACACTGGACTACTGGACATCGTTTCCGGTATTCCATTGGACACCCCTTTGAAGGGTACTGTTGGGATCTGTTGGGCGTATAGGCAGACCTTCCCAAGCCGGCAGCTTCGTTCTTCCATCAACGGCTTCTCCTGGGAGGTCTTTGAGCTAGGTTTGCTTTGGACTGATTCATGGGGCCACCAGTCGTATATCCTTAGGGCTCCTGGCCTACCTCCGTGAGGTTCGGTGGTTGGGGTGGGTGCCAGGGGGGTCTACCCCCCTTCCGAGGATAGGGTTGGAGCCCTTGGGATCACACTCCAAAGACCTCGGATTCCGAGTGGATGGAGAAGTTCGGCTATGCCACCATCGTCCCGCAGCGGCAGTGCCATGCCCTGCATCCCTTCGTCAGAATCAGAAGAGGCTTTTCCCATCCGTTCGTCACATCGTTTCCATCGGTTCCCAGCGAGGTGAGAAAGTCCTGCAGCCCTACGTGAGAGAATGGGCACCTGGGCATGGGTCGAGAGTGTGGTCGAACACCTGGAGGGTGCTTGGTGTCCCCGGGCAGCTCCTCAAATGAGAAGCAAGCATTTTGCAATGTCAGTTTAGAACGTTTACTTTTCAATCTAGGTCCTAGTCCGGGGTCACCATCAACAGGATGTCCAACATCACGAAGTGAGTTTCTAAATCTTTGGGCGGTGACTCTACGTGCTTTTCTCCCCAACTCGGGAGAGGTTGCCAGATGGATGATGCCAGTTTGGTCACCCTCACCAAAGACAAGGTACTCTGTCAAAGAATATCATCTTCATTCATCTTCCAAATGTCGTCTTCTTTTCTTCCGATGTTTCACTTGCTTCAATCCCCATCACCCACTCATGGCTGCACATGTCGGACAGGTCACAGTCGCAGGGAGCCCTGCGCTCTTGGTGGATGAGCAACGCTTGGCGCATGCCACACGGATCTCCTGTGCGCCATGCAAGGTGGACAAGGGGGGTTCTTCCCAATGGACCGGCATGATGTGGACGTGTAGAAAAACCCTAGGGCAACAACCATTTCGTGAGTGAGAAGGTGGTTGGGGTGGGTGAGGGGGGTCTACCCACCTTCTGAGGATAGGGTTGGAGCCCTAGGGTATGCATACATTTAAATAGGGAGACCTCCTGGCCCGGGTTGGCTGGTCTAGTTTCTTTTCCTTTCGGCGGATGGCGCTCATCGTCCTTAGTCCTTTTCCTGCCCATGTCCAAACAGCTCGGGACGATGCTTCGACTCGGGGTCAACACCTTCCATCGATTTCGGACCTGCGACGGCGAGGGAGAACCGGGGTGAAGTGCTGGGGAGTGCTGACATCTTGGAATCTAGGCTTCAACACCCATGATGCTGCTTTTGACTCGAATTGAGCAACTCGAGAAGAGCATGCTGCTGACTCGAATTCCGTCGTCGCTTGCCCTAATGCTTGCCCTATCCCAGCTACAACTGACTCTCCGTCCCGGATCGTCCGGTGTCCACCCCAGGTCCGGCCGGCTCATGGTTGGGACTCCCTGGTGGGCTCCGAAAAGCCACAGAGGTGGTTTGTGAGCATTTTCTCGGACTCACCTGGGGTTACCCAACTGGGTTAGTCTAATAGCTGTAAGCCATAGGGTTCTTCAACCTTTGGTTGAGGCCTGTTGTCGACACTGGCGAACCCACTGGGCACCCCAGTGGGGTCTTCCACCTCTGCTGGTTCCGTCCGACACGACCAGGACGCGCACTACGGAGCCGCGCGCCGTCACAGGTACCGTGGGCGGCGCCTGTGCGATCGCGGTGATCTTCAACGCACCCTTCGGGGGGTTGCTCTACATGTTCGAGGAGCGGTACTTGGATGGAGGTGGCCGCGGTGGTTCCGGTGAAACGCAAGGATCTTGTAGGTGCAAAGGCCGGACTTTTGATGTTGTAGTAGGTGGTTCCCAAGTGTAGCAGGTGTCATAACATGTCATATCAAGAGCTTTCTAGCGTGGGTCTTCACTTGTTTTCCATACACGAAGAGGATGATGACACCTTATTTATTCAGATTTTGGTCCTCCCATGAAGTGTTTTGGTGTCTCGTCGGTCGCACAGCCGGCTGTCATGCGCACGAAGGAGAGGGTCATCGGGATGGGCCAGTTTGGTCATCCGAGCGTTTTGATGCGTGGCATCGTGGCCATTTAGTTCTCCATACAGCTTCCCCGTTTTTCTTCTCAGAACTGAAGGAATCGGAGATGGTCACGAGAAGTCAGTATGAACCAAAGAAGCTCTCTCACCACAAAACTCCACGTGGTTTCATTTTTTGAGGTCCATTCTTGGCTTTCATGCAATGCTATAGACTCTCAATCAGTGCTACTTCAATGAATTTCCATCATTGTTCAACTCCAGCGGTTCATCGTCTGCGCTGGGGCGCAGCAGAACGCGTTCACACACGCGTGTGAACACGAGTGCCGGGTTCCGAACACCATGGCAACGTTTCAGGTCTCAGTAACGCAGCTGAATGGGGAGGACATGGCTCTTGAAGTGATGCCAGACATGAGTCTGTATGATTTCAAAGAATCTTTGAGAGCCTTCCAGATGAGCTCGTCGAGCGGAGAGAAGGTCGTCCTGTTTAAGCTTTCCAAGGTCGAGTTGTTGGTGGAAGGGCAAAAGCTGGTGGATGACAGACTAGCTTTGAGGGATACCGGCATTTCTCCAACCACACGCATGCAAGTGCTCTTTACTTTCCCAGAGGTGGAATGCTGCAGCAGACATGCATCTGGAATGGATTCTAATGCTTTGACCATAGTAAGAGTTCCTGACTGTGCGACCTTCATCGAAGACAGTGCCTTCTTTGGCTGTAGGTCACTGCAAATCCTGACCATTCCAAACTCCGTGACGGAAATTGGAGCCAATGCATTTGCAGGTTGCAGTTCCCTGGCAAGCTTGACAATTCCAAACTCTGTGACTTCCATTGGGGCCACTGCATTTGCGGGCTGCAGTTCCTTGACAAACTTCACGATGTCAGACTCTGTTATTTCCATTGAAGCCAGCGCATTTTTTGACTGCCGCTTGTTGAACAGCTTGGCAATTCCAGACTCTGTCGCTTCAATAGGAGACTGTGCATTTTTCAATTGCAGTTCTTTGACAAGCTTGTTGATTCCAGACTCTGTCACTTCCATTGGGAACTCTGCATTTGAAGGCTGCAGTGCTTTGACAAGCTTGACAATTCCAAACTCTGTCACTTCCATTGGGTCCAATGTATTGCGAGGATGCCGTTGGTTGAAAAGCTTGACCATTCCCAACTCTGTAACGGCAATTGGACATCGGACATTTGGATACAGTTCTTTGACAGGCTTGACGATTCCAGACTCCGTCACTTCCATTGGGGCCAGTGCATTTGAAGGCTGCAGTTTGCTGAGACGCTTGATTATTCCCAACTCTGTGACTTCAATTGGATACCGTGCATTTGCAGGCTGCAAGTCTTTGAACAGCTTGACCATGTCAGACTCTGTGGCTTTCATCGGAACCAATGCATTTGAAGGCTGCCGTTTGTTGAAAAGCGTGGAACTTCCCAACTGTTTGACTTCAATCGGAGAGAGTGCCTTTGCAGGCAGCTCTTTGACAAAGTTGACGATTCCGGACTCTGTAACATCCATTGGGGCCAATGCTTTCAAGGACTGCGATTTGTTGAAGCGCTTGGCGATTCCCAACTCTGTGACTCTGATTGGAGATCATGCATTTGCAGGCAGCTCTTTGGCAAGCTTGATAATTCCAGATTCTGTGACCTCCATTGGGGTCCATGCACTTGACGGCTGCCGTCTGTTGAAAAGCTTGACCATTCCAAACTCCGTGACGTCAATTGGAGCCAATGCATTTCAAGGCTGCAGTTCCTTGACAAGCTTGACGATTCCAGACTCTGTGACATGCATTGGAGCCCGTGCATTTGCAGGCTGCAGTGCGTTGAGGAGCTTGACCATTTTGAATCGTCGGATTTCCATTGGAGCTGATGCCTTTGAGAATTGCAAGTCGTTAACCAACTTGACTGGTCCAGATTGGGTGAAACTGGCTGTCCTTGGTTACCAGGGCAAGGCGCAGCCCTCTGGCTATGGCAACCAATCTCGGAGAAGGGAGAAGCACACTGAGCAAGGCAAATGAGAGAACAATGTAATATTCAGACCTACCCAGCAGCGATCAAGAGAGTGAATCGCTTCTGCCAATGATCCAAGAGACATGCAACTGACTTGCTAAAGCATTGCATCTCGCATTTGCTCCAATCGACACTGGAGGGGTGATTTTCGTTGACCGGGCCTTGGCCAAGCTGAGTTGGTTCAGAAGCAGCTTCGATTCCCTGCTTCGAAGCAGGGCCTCCAAGGGCATCGGTGTGTGTTCTGCATCAAAGGGAGCTTGGGGAGCCATCCGTTGATGTGTGACTTGACGTGTGACTCTGGGCTCCAAACCGAGGACCCGGTTGAACCCAGGTTTTTATGTGTTTCTTTTTTCGGTGCTTCTCGATCCCTTGGAAGAGGTGGTTGTAGTCCGCGAACAGTCCGGAGGGACGAGGTATGAATCGAGGGTCGGCCACTGAATAAACAAGATTTGTGTTCCCTACAGAGCCAACTCACGAGAGAAACCGATGGAGCCAACACACGAGAGAAACTCCCAAAACGCCCGTATTCTTAAGACCATGCCTTTCCCCAAATCCCAGAGTTTTGGATGTCCCTCGGATCCTCTCATTCCCATCCCATCCCAGCCATCTTGAGTGCTCCGCCACCCGTGTGGGCTAGTCGATGAATCTCGGGGAGGATGGCACCGGTTTCACGGTGGCGGCGGTGTCCGGTGCCTTTTTTTCGAGCCACGGCTGTCCAGGAGGTGACGGCCGTGTCCTGGTATGAAGAGCTCACCTTCCGGGTCTTCGTGAGTACCATGTTCTGCACCTGGGACCTTACAGTTTCTCCGCAGGCTTGGAGAAACTGGGCCAGAAGTTCTTGGAGTCTTCGTGGATTGAGATAGATGTTCAAGGGTCAGTGAATCTGAGCCAGAGTGGTTTGGAGACTATATAATTTATTGTATAATCATATCCAAGTGGTCCATGTGGTTGAAGAAACAGCCAAGAAATGGGGACTTCTTCTTGCCCAACGAGTTTAAACAGATGAAGACAGCCATCTGGCCATCTGGGGGCAACATGTTACATGATGATACATGATATATAAGTGTTATTAAAATAGTTTCCTGTTGGTCAGTCATGGGCTTTTGCTTGAACTACTCCCAACACACCTCCATGCACTTCGTTGGCGATATTCCAAACGCAATTGTGGAGCATATGTTTGTCTTTGTTTTCTGTGCTTTTCAAAGAAGGATTCTACACACTAAGCTTGAAGTTTGTGAAGTCGCAGAGCACGAGGCTCCTTGCTCTCCTACGGCTTGTGCTGGTTGATGGGCTCGGACATCACCGAGTTTGTGATCTATGCCGAGACCCCTCAGATCAAGAAGTGGGCTTGGGGTGCCCAGGCCCAAGTTTCGTGCGCTTAAGGCTGGCTCCTTTTTGAAACTGAGGAGTAAAGGACTGAACAGCACTCCAAGAGTATGGGCCTTTGGGTCTTTAAATTGATTCACCGACAGCTAATCCTCCTCTGAAGAGGCTTTCGATCGAGCGCGCGAGGGGGGATGTACCTGAGGGCATCCAAAGAAAGCCAACAAGTGTTGCTTTTCGAGGTGGCTGGGAGGATGGTTTCGTTTCTTGTTTTCCCCAGATTCATCCTCTACCTCTACGGATGACTGTCTACTGTACCTGTTCTAGCCAATCAAAGCTCAAACGAGTTCGTGTTGGACTCTCAGGGTGGCTGGTGTGGCTGGTCGGATCCAGGATGGAGCCCTCGTGAAGCTCAATGATACCCATGGCCCATAGCTGTTCATTCAAATAGCAGGCAAATCTTGCTTGACTCTATTGACTTCACCCCAATCAATGTCAAAAAGAAACACTTCATCCTTCCTTTCGGTGTTCGCTCATCGTTTTCGTTTTCAACACTGAAACAGAAACGCTCACTCTCACACGAAAAAAACGCGGTTTTCTCCGTGCCCTTCCCCTTTTCACGCCCACGCCGCGTACCTCGCCCCGTCGCTCTCCGTCGCCTCCCTCCCCCTCCCGTCCGCGCGCACGTCGCCGGGCGTGGGGCGGAGGTGATGTGCCCATCTTCGTGGCCTTGGCGGCCTTGGTTGGAGTCCTCACGTCGCTCCACACCCGCGCCATGTGGCGCTTCGCAGCTCTCAGGCGCGAGGGATTAAGGGATTGGATGGCTCGGTGGGGTCGAAGAGGAGGGGGAAGTCCAGTTGGAACCCTCACAAGGGTTTTGGTGAAGCCAACAGGAACCGAAACACCCATGGAAAACCGACACATGCATTGAAGGAAGCTCAGGTAGTGATTCTTTCTGCCTTTTGGCGGTGGTCGAACATGTGCGTCGCTTGGCAGGCAATCTTCCCGTGAGCGCTGGCGGCGTCTGCAGCCCTGGCCCGTGCTTGGGCGGCAGCTGTGGTCCCACACCCCGGGCACATACATCTCTTTACAACATGTTACAAATATATACTAATACTACTAATACATATGCAGTTGCAAGCATGGACAGGATGTCACTTTGTTCTTTTGAAACAGCACCCTAAGATTCTTGTGCTGCAGTAATTCCCTCGAAAAAGAACGCCCAAAGTTCCCTCACCTATCTTGGGTTTTGACTCGACCACTGGATGTCTCGCAAGGGCGAGCCATGCAGCCATTGGAAGTCTTTTCCCAGAGTTAACTACCAGACGCATTTCTAGCAGAGGGCTGATGTTTTCGCCATGTCAACCTTGAGTGAAATTCGGTCCCCAAAGAAGCAGCCGGTAAAGAGCGGTATTCGACAGACCTTGAGAGGGGAAGAACACATAGTTTGTTCATCTCTTTTGGGTTCAAAGCACCTCTGCAGTTTGGGTTCAGATCAATAATAACTAATCTGATCCCAGCTAGCTTGATCAATCCCAAGCGATGCTAGTGCCAGTGACCAATGCACCAGATCTTGCTTGGTTTCCATTCTCTTAAAGGTGGTGGTGGAGACGACGCTTTACGCCTCATTGTGTGCTTTCACCTCAGGGCAACTTGCCGAGTCGGGGATGAGCTTTTGAGGGGTGAGACGGGGTGAGATAGAGTCGAGGACACCGTTGGACAAATCCATTCCCTAGGAATCCAGTCGTACCTCCTCCAAAGGTACTTGGACCCTCCTGGCGCCCACCCCAAACACCTTCTCAGAGGGTACTTGGATCCTTAGGGATTATATACAATCTACTAAATAATGATGTGCAGCTCATGAGCTGGTGTCTTCTCTATTGCAAAACTTTTTTGAGCAGGGTGACATTAAGATAAACTTGGTAGTTTGCAGCGGTGAGCACTGAAGACAACATATCGTTCTAGAATTTCGCCCAAAGCTGTTTCATTGCACGTTATATATATGGACCGTCCGGTCACTGCAACGCTTCTGGCGAAAGTCTCGCGAACACGAGCAGCGAACTTCTGGGCCCTCTTGATAGGGGATGCGAGATGATGTGAGCCCTTGACTTGCCCGGTTTTGGCCTCACAAAAGCGGGCAACTGCAGTCTGAGGATGGTCTCTCTTCTGGCAGTCTGCGCTAAGGAGTCCAATCTATTGCAGTCGAGTCGTTCGAAACAGGTTGAGGGACTGGTGCACTTGAGGGACTTTTTGGAAGAACAAGCAAGGGGAACACCTGGAAATCGCAACAAACCTGATCAAAGAACCTTTTCCTTCACTTTCCGGCCTATTTTATGTAGACCTACTTTGAAGCCATACAATATCATACAATCATAGCCAGTCGGGAAGAGGGGGGAAGGGTATCAAGGGCAAACTCCAAGACATTCTCCCAGTGTGAAAGACCAGCTTGCAAGAAGCTTCTCGAAACACCTGGCCGCTACGTGGATGTGCCGGCACGCTTTCACGACGGATGTGCCGTTTGGCTGGAGCCAATTTACATGGCATCCGTCTTGTTTGTGCGCAACCAAATTCTTGGTTCCCCAGGTCCGCAGTCGTTGATTCGTTCCCCCCAAACTAATCAACCCAACACCAACAGTCCAAGGGACCGATGACCACCGCGTGGTTGACGAGTCTCGTTTTGTGAGGAGGGTGAGTCGGGCTTGGAATATGTGCCCTTCAACTGCCCCGAGGCGACGTGAACCAACAGCGCTTTTCGTTGTTTTGGCGGTGCTGCGGGACGACCAGTGGTTTCAGAGTAGATGGCACGAACCGAAACAGATGTCCTTTACATGGGGGGTTCACTACTAAACCCCCTCTCGGGGTCTTTGCCATCTACTTTTTTAGGGGAGTCGGGATGGGGGTGAGCGAGGTGAGGGCTCCTGGTGAGAGTGATGAGTTGGTGTGGGGAACAAGGGGGGTCTGAAAAGGATCGGATGTGGGATATGGGTCGATGCACATCAATTGCAAAGAACACATTGCTACTAGTGGCGATGCACTTGTTCCTAATAGCTTCTTGTTACTAGTGGTCATGCCCCTGTTACTAGTAGCGATGCACTTGCTACTAGTCGCGATGCCGGCAGGGAAAGGCGGGGGATCCATCCACTCGGCAGACTCGGTAGACTCTCCCCTCCACCTGATGCCATGAAGCTCAGCTTGGGGGCTGGCTGGTCGGGCGAGTGTTCTTTCTTCCCCCCGTTGGTAGAAAGAAACAGAAACGTCTTCCTTACGGGGCCATGGTCCACTTCCATGATTCTTTCAGGGAGCGTGTTTCTTTGTTCCCCAGCTTATCCGGAGCAATATCCAAGTCAGAGAGCCCTGGCTGAGTTGATCTGGACCCTGGGTCCGATCATGGCCCATCCAACGCAGCGCGGATCCGGTGAGGGGCAGTACAACCCCATTGCCTCGTTGCTGGTGGCCACCTCTCACAGCCGGGGCGCGCCAAGGGACGGACTCCGTGGAGAACGCTTGGGGGGTTGGGGTTGAAGCAGCATCGTGCCAAGGACGTGAAAGAGAGGAGGAAGGTCATTAGAGAAGATCACAAAGAACGTGTGAAGGTGACGTGGTGAGGACGATCACCACCACCTTTTTGCAAAGGATTGTGATGGAAAAAACGATGCCGAACACCACGATCTTGAGTAAGATGAACCGAACAGACTCCTTTTCTTGTTCACATCACTCGTTCTTGCCAGACCAGAGACGCTGCACCGTTCTTGCCGTGATGGCACAGCTCTGCATCCCAGAAGGTTCCACCCACACTCAGGATCTTAAACCTCAACCCCTCAAACTCACACACACTCTCTCTCTCTCTCACCCTTGTTGTTGGCTTTGGACCAGGACCCACACAAAGAAGGTGGCTTCTCTTGAATCATCCCCAGCTCCCTTCCCAGCTCCTTCCCCAGCTCCTTCCGGCACCTCTTCTAGCCCTAGATGCTCCTCGTTTTTCCACCCCCTGAGGCTCGGTGAAGCTGCTCTTCTCCGGCACCAACGGAGGCGAGCTGGCGAGAGGCTTCGTCGTGTGTACCCAATGGGGTCCCCTACCTACTCATGCACGCAGATCCGGCTCATTCTTTGTGGAATCATGTGGGACATTCGTGGATTCTCTTTCCAAAATGGCTTGAGATAGCGACTCAGTTGGCTTCACACCAAGCTATTCAGGGTCCTTAGTCCGGAAGAACACCGATCCCTTCCGCCCGGTTCCGTTCCGCTGGTGTCGCGGTTCAGCCGTTGGGGGCAAGATCCATGCGAGGTGAGATCCATGCGAGCTCTAGCTTCTTGGCCTTCCTCACCTACACGAGCCTCAACATTGGCTCTTTGGCCAATTTGCTTTGCATGTCTCTGACTCCTCTTTTTGGGGAAAACCGCGAAAGTGCACGGGCAGGCGAACACGGGGCTATCCGGCTATCCTTCAGGAGGACAATGGACGCTTTTAGGATGCCCAGCCCCAGAGGTTCTAGAAGTTCTCCGCACAGACGATAGCAATTTGCACGATTTTGCAGGATGCTTGCCTTAGTGTGTGTACTTGTGTGCGAACTCGAAGACCACCCCGGTGCCCTGGTTGAGCCTTGTAAAGTAAGTCCTTCAAGCTCGCATTTTGGGCCAGGTATGCTTTAAAATTGAAAGACAACCCTTTTCCCTTTTCCCCAATGCGTAGCGAAGGGTTCTCGTTTAACTCTGGGGGGTCTGGGGTTAGAGTCTTGTTCGCGATTCGTTGTCGTGTCGACCGCAACCGTCCGCAACTGTTCGCAACCATTCGCAGAGATTCTGGAGAAGAGGATTGAAGTTTGAAGCACCCGCACGCTGAGGCAAAGCTTTCCTCACAGCATACAACCCTGAACAATCCCTGTGACAGAAACAAGTGTTGCTTTGCATGCTTCAGCTGTTTTTGTCCAACGTATGGAGCCTCGAGCCCCATAAACATCATTTGTGCCAGTGAATAGTTGAGCCTAGCTTGACACACAATTGCTCATGTGGCCGGTGCTGTTGTGCTCGAGCGGAAGGGTCATTTTAGTCAGTCTGTATGCCTTGAGTTCTTGAAGATGAACATCAGGCTCATCAGATTGTCTTGTACGGACTCGGAGTTGTGTCGCATAGGACTTTAGATGGGAGGAGATATTTAAAACACACTAGTAAGCTATGTTAACACTAAGAAGCTGAAAGCATCTGGAGCTTTTTACAGAGACACCATATGATAAGAAAGAAGATTGATCCTCTTTTAGCGAGCTCGGCCGACCCAAGACCATGGATGGTCCAAATGGCTCGAGTAGCCGTTCCGGGTCCGGGGGCTCAAAGTTTGCTAAAATGTAGAGGATGCTGTGAGGGTCCAGAGCCCACCAGCTATTATCCTGAATCCGAACGTAGTAAAAACCTCTCCATGCTTCTTACGCTTGAGTTTGCAGGCTGGGGCAGAGGACGACGTGGTGCAGCTCCAGGGCAGGAGATGCCTTCGTGTACCCGCTACGACGCTGTTCCCACCGCCCCTGGACATGATCAAGTTCGGATCCGTGGGTGAGCTGACATCAAAACGTTGTTTGGAGACAGTTCATGAAGTTATACGTGTCTGGGCGAAAATCAGACCGGCCCTCAGCTATGTTCAATTCCGAGGCCAGGAGCCTTCCGGATTCAGGAGCGCAGATCCCTCACGGCGCAGAGCTCGCATAAGTCGGAGGCGGATCACTGCAAGAGTCTTCGGACTGACTACAAAAAGCGGCGCGCAAAGGATGGAGAGAGGACATTTGCGGAGAAGAGTTCTTCGGTTACAAGGCACTCCACATCCATCCGAATTGCCGTGCAAAAGCATTGTGTGTTGTATTCGTACGGTGACACGACTACACCTTTCGACGGCTTTGAAGGAAACTGAAGGAAGAAGGTTGTAAAGAAAAGAGACAAGGAAGAAAAAACAAGAAAGCACCTCAACCAAAAAAAGAACACCAGGGAGAAGGGATGACGCTGCTTTTCTGCGCTAGTCGTTTGGAAAATGAAAGACATTCCCTACACATGTTTCACAGAACTGGCCACTTGGTAGTGCAAATGTAGTGTGGCCTCAGAGCTGGCAACTTGTAGCGCACATGTAATGCGGGAAGCAGGTGGTGGGAGCTGTGGCAATGTAGTGCGGGAAGCGGCTTCTGGCAGGTGCGGCAACACAGCTGGCCACTTGGTAGTGCAAATTGGCAGCTTTGTAGTACGCAGGTAGTACGGGAAGCAGCTTCTGGGAGCTGTGGCCTCAGAACTGTCAACTTGTGTAGCCAAATTACATCTGAGTACGTGAGTGTCGTACGTGAATGTCCCACGAAAGTGTCCCACAAGAGTGTCCTACAAGAGTGTCCCGCAAGAGTGTGCCACATAGTGACGAAAATGTCGCACGAGAGTGTCCCACAAGAGCGTTCTAGAAGCGTGTCTCCTAAAAGAATGTCAAAAGATGTTTGGGCGTTTGTTTTCGAGCGCATGTTTGCATTCGGGTTCGTGGGTTCCATTCTTTTTGGGACAACCAACCCATTTTCGTTTGTTTCGCGAGGTTTGGCTGGGCTACCAGTGCCTGGTGGAGCGTTCACTGCACCTGTGGCAGCAGTTAGCTAAATTTAGCACAAGAGGCCTACAACCCTTTAACATATGGAAGTGGATGGCATCGGTTCTGGGAAGGTCATTTTGTACCAAGAGCAGGGGTTTTCTACCTTGGCGCGTGGAACAGTTAGTGGGAAGACATCTACGCATCACATTCTATCACTCTTGCCAGAGCCCTTATGACCTTACCAGCTGCAGGGTGGCGTTTCTAACGGTCCGCGCTTGGATGAAGTGGAGCCACCCCCCAAAAACCGCGCCGAAGGGACGCAAAACCCAAGCGCCGAGGCGACCATGCTCATGGGCGGGCTGTTTGGGCGCTCTGTGGGCGCCTTCTGCCACACGCTGCAGGTGACTGGGAGCCCCTCAGGCGCCCGAGCCAGGAAGGCGTTTTTTGGGGAGGAAAGGTGGTCTTCCCAAGGGAGGGGGTCGGCACCCGTGGGTGATCCCTACCCACAGCAACCCGTTCCAGTTCCCGCCGTTGGACCTCAGTGGTCACCATGGTCCAAGACCTCAGGCGTCTATGCAGTGGTGGGGAGCGCCACTCGGCAAATGAGACTCCGCGGCGGAAATCCTCCAAGGGGTTCTACAACCATTCTGATGCTTTGAAGAGGAGTGCTGAAATTTTTGGAGTTGCGCCATTGCTCAAGGATGGATTGTCAAGTTGTATTGAGTACTGTGACACAGTGTTTTTGGTGGAGGTGGCTGAAATGGGATTCACCGTTCACCATTCAAACTGTTCATGTCTTTTGTTTCAGAAATTTGTTTTACACAAACGCCAAAACGTTCAATTTCATAAAGAGCGGTCGTGAATTTCAGGAATTTGACTAAAACATGCAAAAGCGATAGGCGCCCCTCAAAAGCGATAACCATATTTCCGCAGTTTTTGGATATGTTCACTTATGTTGTGGCTAAAACCTTCAAAAGCGATAGGCCCCCCTCAAAAGCGACAACCTTGCTGAATCATGTCCTCTGCTTGACATACGTTTTGGCAGACGCTCTAATATGTCCTTTCTGATTTTGTTGCAACATATTTCATATCAATTTTAGCATTGAAACCTGGAGACGCCTTGCCTTTTAAGGAGCAACCTTTTCAACTAAAGAGAACATTCTACAGATTTCATGTTGCCCCAAAGACATTCCTTTTTTTGAGAGATCATTTCAAGAAAGTGAGAGCCAATAGAGGGTGACATTTTGGACTAATAAAGATGTGATGCAAAAGCATGCTTTGAGTCTTTGAGTGATTTTATTTGCATATAGATTTTACACGGTTGCACTTACATGGTTGCAATCGCCGTGCATGGGGTCCTTGTGGCTGAAACATTCAAAGCTAGCAGGAAACACCTTGACTTTGTTAGGGCCGGATCTGTTTTGAAGAGCTTTTTGAGACCTTCCTTTTCCCCTTCCGCGGCCCACAGATTTCGGTGAAGAATAGGCAGAGTAGATACACACATCATGCTTTTGACCATCGGCTGGATGAACTGACAAACGCTCATATGGTGGCAGTTCGCTACAGGAGGAGTCTAATTTACTGTTGGCTCTAGATGGCTCTAGCTGGTGTAACTGATCCCTGCTAAAAACCAACTGATTCCCTGTGATTCCAAGGGTTTCACACACACAAAAACCGACCTGGCTCGTTGCCCAGGCGGCGATGTTGTGTGGCTTCAAGCAGATGACCTTGGCCTCGGTGGGGCGAGTGATGGCGTCACGTGAGACACAGATGATTCGATTCATATGATCATGATCCACCTGGGCACTGCATGGAATGGAAGAACCAACCAATTTTTTCTGTGGCCTTTTTTTGTGGCTTTTGGGATTCGCATTTTCACGTCTCGGTCGGACGGAGACATCTCGAACTCTGAACTCGGCCGAAACTCCAGGTCCTCATTGTGGTGGAATGCGTGAACGACCTGAGCCTGGCGCCCATTGTGATGTTGGGCGTGGCGGTGTCCATGGCAGCGCCTTGGGACGAAGGGTTCCGTCGGAGTTCGGTCGGAGATCTTTCTTCGCATGGCGCCACGGGAGTCGAAAAGGGTTGGACGATGGAGAGCTTCTCGGCACCAGATGCGTTGGTTTTCTTCGCCAGACTTTCCAGGTGTCCCGCGCCTTAGGAGGTGAAGAGTGATGGTTTGACATGGTCTTGTCGAGGGCTTGGTGGAAGTGCTTTCTCATGACCAGTGACAGCAGCTTCTGGTTCAAGGGCATCTTCCGTGTTCTTGACGGTTGCCTAACCCCCCAACCACCCAGGGTCCGTTGGCCCAAATGCAGTGTCCGTAATGTTCGAAATCCAACCTCCTGGCTTTGGACCTGCAAACAACACTGGTTTCCTGACGACGGTTTGCGTTCTTCAACTTGGATCATGGAACGCCTGTGTTGCAGGTGAATTGGTCCATGAATGAACGCGGCCACGACGAGGAGGCCCCCAGAGTGCTGGTCGCACTGGTCGGAGGGGCAGCGGGTTTTGGGTGATCCTCCTAGTCCCACTAGTCGTGGTCCCGGACCCAAAGCTTCCGCATGTTGCAGTTGTTTTTCAGCACAAAGATGACCCGGTCATGTGGAACCTGACCCTCTTGAGAACGCCCCCCATGGCACTTTAGGTCTCCCCCCCATAGGTCTCAATAGATTGAAGATCCCTTGGAATCGCAATCATCTTGACAGATCCCTGTTGTAGTCCTTGGCAATGAGTTGGATCTCATTTTACCAGGGATCTCATAGATCCAGGGTGAAACACCTCCTTGGATCTCTTGAGGATTCAGACCCGCGGCACCGCTCTCCGTCAGGTGATTCACCGCCGCGCGCTGCCGTATTTGGAGCCCGACGCCTGGAGATGCACGGTGCGATGCACGGTGCGCGGGTCGACCCCACATCCGCGGTGGAGAGCCCGAGCTCACCATCCGACACCTATATATTATAGACTTTCTCGACCAAATAAGTGTGGCACTTTCCTTTTTCGTTTGTCAAGGTGCCAAGGATGAAGTGATTCTGAATTCCAGTCAGGCGTCAAACAGCTTCATACTTTGAAGAATTCCCGACCGCCCGTGGGATTCGTGGTCTCGCTTCACCTTCATTCCACACCCCTCGACATGGCTCAGAGCCTGTAGTCTGTACGGGTTGGAGCCTGCCAAACGGAAGGATAAGGGGTCCTCAACCACAGCAAGTGCCTTGGATAGCAAACAAAACAAGCACCTGCGTAGCGTTCCAAGCCCACCCTATGAGGCAAATGCTCGCCCTATGAGGCCAATTTTTGGAGAGTCTAGTTTACCGCCGCCAAGGAAGCTCCTCATCGCTTTGATGCATTGGCAGCCTTGGATTTGTGTAGTCCTTGCTGCCCCTTGTGCCTTGGTAGCGTTTTCAGCTGATTGGCTTGAGAGATAGCACTGAGTCGCATCTTCACAGCGGCATCAGTACTGTTAAGTCTCAACAACATTTTAAAGCAGGGTATCTATGCACTCCACCGATGTGCTGGTCAAGCTGGTCGTCTGGCGATGGCTTCCACCTGTTGGCCCCCCGCTCCGCCACCGAAGAAGGGACGGCGACGGCGGCGTCACGGTGACGGACACGGCTTCTGAAGGAGTTCTACCCCGCAGCCAATTGGGAGACTTATCGGCCCTGGGCCCTTGGCCCCTGGCTGGGTCTGTTCTGGTCGATTTTTTCCTGAAACCGAGGAGGTCTCGCTGTTTTGATACCTTCCGGCAGTTCGCTCCAATCAAGCTCGTCCCCGAGGCTGCCAGAAGCACCACTGGCCCAGGCGAGCAAATGGTTCCTTCGTCGGGCTGCGGGGGACATCTCACTTGTGAGCAGAACATTCTATAGCAAACCCAAACACAGCCATTCCCCTTTCCAGGCTACAATTCAGAGTGTGACAATAAGTCCTGGCGGTTTGCGCCCCCTGGATTTCCGTTAGCAGCAAGCCAAGTGACCAAGTGGTTTCTGCTAGGCTTAGCAAGAATAGTCTGTTTGAGAAAAGCCTTCAGGTCTAAAGGGTTGATAGACATCACTGGAACTCCGCTGTGAGAGCCATGTATTTTGGGGTGTTCCACCAAACGACAGAACCACGCAGATGTGGTTCGTATCCCGTCCCACGTTCGATGCTTCCTCCCTTACGCAGCTGGAGGGTGGATCTGCAGCTCGATTTTTCGCAGAGTGGCCAAAACAGACCAACTCCTTATATATAAGTCGGCTTAGCAGGCCGTTCTTGACTGTGCTGAGCCGATTTTGGGCTCTTCAGACGTCCTTCAGATCTTCCACGGCTGCATCCACCCCAAACAGTTCCTTTCGAACAAACTGTTTCCTACCGAATCGTGATGTGAGGTCTTGAGCGCTTTGGAAGAGGAAGCCCACTATTTTCCAGTGAAGGCCGGAGAGATTGCGTCTTGAACAGACGAACCATGCGATGAGCAGGGCTTTCATTTCTTCGGATTAGCCGGGATGAGCTAGCCTGAGATGGACTTGCTCTGAACAACATGGTTCCATTCTTTTCTCTGAACTGATCCTTGAAGCCCCCTTTTTGAGCTTCATGATCCTAGAATCGGCCCTGATAATCAAATTGGCCCTGATCATGGGCCCGTTTTTTACGGTTTTTCCGTCCCCCCTCCAAAAAGAACATCAAATCAAGTCCCAGCAGCACAGACAAGTCGCTCAGAGCCTTGAGGTTTCGGAACTCCACGGCACCCACGACTCCATGGTCCAAAAACCCTCAAATGTCGACAGGGTCCAGGGCATTCATCCGAGGTCCTTGGCACTCATCCAGGGTCCTCATCCAGGGTCCAGGGGGGGTAGACCGAGCATCCAGGGTCCCTGTCTCCTGGGGACCTCCTCTTCCGTGTGCAGCGTCGCGGGACGGAGGAACCGGACGGCCCCTGCCTGGGCATCGCCAGCCGCGCGGCGGTGAAGTCCTTGTTGCCGAGTTCGAGCCAGGCCCCGGGGGTTTTCCTGGGACGTGTTGGGCGGTGAAGAAGGAGAGTTGCGGATATTTTTTGGGATCTAGAGGAGGTGAAATGAATTGACATGAGGGGGGGTTTTGAAGGGGAGATCGGTGAGCACCAAAGCTGTTGTGGATTGTGGAATGCTGGTATTTTGGGATCAGACGGGTGTTCCAGGGTTGGGGCAGTTTTTCAGTCTTTGTTCCTCCGGATTTCTTCGGTGGTCTGGATTGTGCTGTCGTTTCACAGAACCGGAATCCGCACTGGCGAAGCTGAGAGTTCACACATGCCCACCAATTCCCATCACCTCTTGGAGTGAAGCACCGGCTCCGCTGCCGCACCGCGCCTTCGCCTTCTCTGCTCGTCCCGAGCACCGGTCTCGGGAGGCGGAACATGTCCAGCTGGATAGCGAGCTGGTGGAAGAGCTCCTTCCCATCCACCGCGTCATGGAGCGCGATCTCCACACGCCAAAGGTTTTCCCTTTCTTTTTTTCCGCGCGCGTGCGTCTTTTCAGACGGGTGACCCAGTCTTCACCCTGGAAGACTGGTCGGGGTGGAAGTCTGGGTGGAAGGCTGCAAGCATGGACTTTGTCAGGATTTTGCAGGTGTTTCCATGTCGGCTCTTTGTTGGGATAGATGAGGTGCCATGCCGCGCATGGCGAGGAAAGAGAGGAAGACGTTTTTTCAGAAGCGGACCAAGACCTCTGGAATTCCTTGAGGTCTTTCATCTTTACCCACAACTTGGCACATCTAATTAGAAGGAAGGCTTCCAAATGGGTTGAAGAGTTGAAGGGTGACTGCAATTCTGTAGTGGTTTTCAGCAACAGAATTGGTGTAGCTCTGGTCTACTGATGGCGTTTCAGAGCTCAACCTTTGGTAATCGTCACCAGAAAAGAATTGGTGTCCAACGCACTCACAAAAAGATTCGGATTTCACGGGCGAATTATGTATGTTTTACCCTCCGACAACACATCACATGGAAGTGGATGGCATGGACCACCAGGATGGGCCATCCACTTCACTTCCATGCCGTTCCTCGGAGTGAACCACGGTCGGTGGAAGACCTGCCGGCATCCAGGACCCCACGCCCTTCACTGTGGTGGAAGACATGCCAGCACCCAGGTGAGAGAAGGGACAAAAGGTCTTGCAGGAGGAGTGGATTCTTCTCGGTTCATTAGAAAGACATCTTCCAAGGGGGGGCGGCCTTGAAGTACTGGAATCGTAAACTCATTAAGGCACGGCCGCACGGCTCTTGACAATTGGATGTAGGTCTCTTGGGTGGATTTGGGCGTTTTGCGAGTCCCTCCTTGGAGCTCCCCAAGGAGCGGGAGCGGAGTTTTTAAGACTGTCCTTTGTTCAGGCCTTGTCAAGCGTTGCATGGAGGCCCGTTGCAGGTGATTGAGGATCGGATAGGTATGATAGGTTGAGGAACCTCAGGGGTTCTGGGCCTTGCACGACATGACGGGTGAGGTTTCCAGCCCTCTTGGGGGGATGGGGACCACGTTCGTTCTCGGTGCCGCCTGGTCATGGTCTTCACTTCAGCGTCACCGTTCGCCCGGCACGCTGGAACATGGGGACTCCGCCGGGGGGCGACATCCGATCCGAGTCTCCACGGCCCCTTCGGGACGCGCGGAGCTGGGAGCTCGGGCTCGGCATGGGATCCCTTCACCGCCAGATGACCAGGTGCCAGGAGACCACCACTGGGTTCAAACCAAGACCTCCACCGCCGCCGACCCGCCGCCGCCGCCGCGCTCACCGCGGCGCTGTCTGTGCAGAGCTCGCCAGGCTGTACAGTCTCTTCGCGAAAGCTGGCGAGAGGGCGGCCTGCGTGACCTCGATTCGTGGGATGGACCCAGAGGAGTCAGTCTGGGGATGACAGGTGCCAGGGTGGAGTTGAGTGGAAGTTGAGGACCGATTCTTAGACCAACTACATACAGTCTATTTTGTTTTTGATCATTTGTCACAAGACACAATCTCCTTGCTTCTCACATATTTGGCACAGGGTGATGGAAACTACCCGCACTTCGACGTTCGGCGCACAAGAATGGATGTCACTTCCCAAACCCACTGGTCCTCATCCAAAGAATGGTCTTTTTCCTCTCGTACTTCTCTTTTGTGGTGGATGATAATCCACTCCTGTTGTCCTCTCGGGAAAGAAAAAGACACTCACCCCACAAACAAAGGCATTATAAGACTGATTTACACACGAGAAGAATCAGAGGAATAAGACATCTGGACACCAGAAATGTGGCCTTCTTTGGCATGGAATTCATGTGCAGGTGTGTGTTTGTTTCCTTAAACAGTTTATAACTATAACTATTCCATCACCGCACGGGAATGTGTCTCGGAATGGGGCGAAATGTCCAGTTGGACCTGCTTGATAGAGGAGAATGGATGGGTTCGACTGAAAATGGATACTGGGTGAGGCCTAGGAGCAGACAGTCACCCCAAACAAGGAGGTTCCAAAACATTTGGGCTTTCGAGGGGTCCAAGCTTCAATTTCCCTTCCACAGCTGATCTATTTTCTATGCAAGTACTTACATGATAATCCATCAGGTCCATCAGGTAAAAAGGAAAATACTTCCATGTGGCCTCCTCCTGTGGCCGAGCGTGGTATCCCGGTTTGGTGTTTCACCCTGCAATCATCGAATCTTTTAGGTGGTTCTCCTGGATTTTCCTTCTTTCCGATGAATGCACAGTTCAGCTGGATCTGGGAGGTTCTTTTTTTGACAAGCTGTTCCGTCCCTTGACTGTCCGAAGAGGCTTTCTTTTGGTTTAGAAATGGTTAAAAGGGCTTTCTTACTAAACCACTCAAGGTTCAACTCCAAGCTTCCGCTGTCGCCCCTGTTTGTTTTGGGTGAAGAACTGCATCATCCTCCACTGTCTGAGGTGGCGACTTCCGCGGGCTGATCAGCCGGGAACGGCTCATCGCGTTGACGCGCTGAAAGATGAGAGCGGCAAAAACGGGCTGTGACGCAAGACCGTAGTTGCATGGTTTGTTCGGTGGTGGGAAGCGAGCAGATTGGAGAGCAGATTGGTGTCAGCAAAGTGGACTGGGAATGATTTGGGTATATATAGATGGATGCTTTTGATGTTCCAATTTTGATAAGTATAGCTAGAAGGGTCCTTGAGGTGCATGCTATCTAGGTCTCTAGGTCTATAGGTAGTACTTGGATGGTTGATCGGACGGTATGAGTTTGCCAGCATCACATGGCGTGGATAAGAAACATACAATCGGGGTGTCTTCTTGATGACACCCATTGGCGACGTGGAGACTTCTCCTCCAGTAGACGTCGAGACAAACAAATGCTTCGTCTCAAAACCATGTCGGTGGAGATGAGTTGGTTGAAGCAGCAGATCCTCGAAGTCCCGCTTCATCCTGGTATGTTAAGTCCATCGATCAACATGGCCATCATGGGTTATATAACGGTTACGGTCTCTTGGGTCCCAACATCTGTCTGTTCCACTCACCCTCACCCCGCGTCGGTTCCCTCGCAGGCCGCGGCGACCCAGAAGAAGACGGCCGAGCACCAGGAACGCCTGGAGGAGGACGCCGGAGCACGGAGGGGGCGAAAGACAGATTGGTCGGTGCCCCAAGATGTTTGGGGCGCAAAGAAGGGTCTTCAACCCGGCTTCACTTCCAGGTTGACGGTGATTTTCGAACAGGTTCACTTCCAGGTTGATGGTGATTTTCGAACAGTTCGAAGAACCTTCAAAGAGCTTCACTTCAGTTGAAGGCTTCACTTCAGAAAGGTTCGCTTCACTTCAGTTGTCTCACTTCACTTCTTCTATCTTCTTCTTCATGCTCCGGCACCCACCGCGAGCCTCACCGGCGTGAAGGGTGGCGCTGTTGTTCGGCTTTCGGCTTACGACTCGCGGTCGACTGGTCGGTGGGTGCCGTAGACCTCGGGGGACATCAGAGAGCTTTCAGTGAACGAAATATCCAAGGAAACAACACACCAAAAAGGAATTAAGACCGAACAATGAGGCAATCAAGACCAACGCTACGAAGAGCAGGGTTTTCTCAAAACGCAGAACTTTAGGAACGAAGAGCACGTTGGATAAGATAGAACATTCCTCTCTGCCCCTTCGGGTCTCCACACGAGCCTTCTGCCTCGCGCGTCCGCCGGGGTGCTGCCCTCGCGCTTTCGCGTCGCGCTTCCGTCGCGCGGAGAAAAGGAGCTCCAGCGGGTCGCTGCGGAGAGCGAAGCAGAGCGCCGCGAGTTGGAGCGGAAGATCCAGGAGGGTTTTGGGGAAGCTTTTGGGCGGCTTCTGGGCGGAATCTGTCTGGTTGAGAGGTGTTCTATGCTTTGAGACTTCAGGAGTTGGAGTCGCCCGATGTCTGGAATGAACTGAATGGGATGAGGACCTCACAGCGAGTTACGTCCCCACTTCATTACCAATTAGGTGTCTGTGGGACGCTCTCATTAGGTGTCTGTGTTTGGTTTGTAGGATCAGAGCTCTGTTCATGACTCATGACTCAGCTATGGCCATGGCTCAACAAATGGGCGCACCTCAAAACTTTGCTGGACAAAGTACAAACATGACTGTCAATCTATGTCAATTTGTGCTTCATTCTCGCGCACACAGCACACTGATCAGTCTCGAGTGTTCCTTTTTCTACTAACAGGCCATGAAAACAATGACTCAAATCGACGGGTCTTTCTAAACATGTAACTGTTAATATAGTTACAAACACCTGAAAATTACAGACCTTAATAAGACTCCCCCACCAGGCTGCTGTTGGCCTCTCTTTCGGCCACGAATCCAAGCCCAACTTCCTGAAAAGCACGACCTGCCGAAGACTTCCCCACTTCGTTCCTCGTTCGACTCGACCAGGTCCCGCCATGGCCGGACGTGTCGCGACGTGTCGCGGACGTGTCGACAGGCGGAGCGCCAGAGCTGCGAGACGCTGCGCCGGGCGGCGGAGCGGCGGCGAAAGGAGCAGCAGCAGGCGTACGAGGCGGGCGGAAATGGCGGTGGCAGAGGTGGATTGGCAGAGCTTTCAATTCAAGAAAGAGGTTGACGATTTAAATTCTACCCAGAGGTTTTCAGGTTGATTTTCCTGTAGAACAGTCTTTTCTTGCATGTAGATGGGGTGTGCATTTTGTTTGTTGGAAGCATCGTTTTCCTTGGCCTTGTTGGCCCCTTTCAGTCTATACTACTCCAACTGCCCGATATTTCGGTCTTTGGGAGTTCTGTAGGACATGAACAACACCGCTTAAGGTCGCCATCCTTGGACCTGTGTGCACTTGCTTGAGTGGGGAGGTCTAGACTTGCGAATTCACAGAGGGTGTCCAGCGACTTGGGGGCGGGGTCAACGACTTGGGAATTTTCGGACCTGGCGGAAGCCAGTTGGAATTGATGCCCCGAAGTGACTCAGCCCGTCAGCCCTTAGGTCATTACTACTTTTTCGGGAGCTAGAGCTTGGAGAGAGGTTGAAAGGTGCTGGGAAGGAATTTTTCCCTATCTGAAGTCTCCCACCGTGACACGGTGAAAATTTCCGAGAGGGGTGATTTTGGACCCTATGGTAAAAGCCACTTCAGTGCTTTTTCCCCCCCGGCAGGCAGGCGCCACACTCGACTGAGAAGAAGAGTGGGGGTGAAGTGACCACATACACTTTCAAGTGCTATCAGTGGTATAACTGGGTCTCAGAAGGAGAGTGACCCTCACTGACCCGTGCTCAACTGCCCCCCTTTCGGCGGATCTCTCCAGGCCGCGCTGGATGGGCCGGCGCAGGAGCTGGCGACGTTGGAGGTGCCGGGTGTCCTGCGAGGGTGAAGACGCTGCCAGGTCGAAGAGGTGGTCCAGTTGGGACATTTGGCTGGCAAGAGCCTTCCTATTGTTTGCACGAGGAGCCACAAAGGAGTGGCGTTTAGTCCCCAAGTGAGCGGATCATGGGCACCCCTAGCCTCCATTAAGCACCCCTTATATATCATATACTCTGGTGCGCTCCCCCACCGCCGGCTGGTGTCGGAGGAGGAATACAGTTTGGAACGTTTGGTCTGTTTGCCTTCGTTCGGTCTGGTCGAGACACTACCGGGAGCTGGGATCCATTTGGACTGGGACCGGTCATGTTCACCATCACCAAGCAGGGACCTGTTCCTTGGGGAGATTTCTAAGGGACGACCGTATACAGATGGAGTCGCTTCCGTCGGATAGCCCCAAAAACAAACCGGGATGCATGGCAATGCAAGGGGGGGTCTTTTGTTCAGAGGAAAAGAGACGGGTCAGAAGCTTTGTCCCCACGACTGGGCACCACCAAGCGTCCAGCATGCAGGGCTCCATCAGTGAGATTCAACACACAGCCGAGTTGGAGATCTCCAGCTTGGGCCTCGCGACGGCCTGGGGGTTTTCGAACGTGCACCGCGAGAACTGCGGTGTGGTGTGCGTGAGGTTGGTGCATTCGGTGGGAAGAACAGGTGGTAGGAAGGATGGTTTTCTTGCCTAAGATTGCATTGTTAAAGTTATTTTAAGTTGCGCATTGCGAATCCTTCCTGGCAGTTTCTGGTGTGCACCACCTTAGAATGTCGGAAGACGCCCTGATGTCACGGTGTGTGCACAGCTGATCCCCTCCTCTTCAGGGGGCGGAGAAGTGACGGTTTCGCTGGAAAGTCGATTGTTGCTTCAAGAAGCCACCACATGTGTTTCTCTCGTCTTGGTCAAGTGCAAAGTGTTGGCTCTTCCTGCGCCTGAGAGAGTAGGGACTGCGTTTGTTGCCAGGGAAATCTCGGGTTGTTTGCATTCCCAGGGGAAACCGTCCTGGATGTTGATGCCGTTGTACGAGGTTTGCACCAGAAGTCCGAGAAATTGCGCTCGCGCACGGAGGAGAGACCCGGTGGGCAAGTTGGGTTCGCTGCGAGTCACATGCATGTTTCTTAGACTTCCTTCAAAGAATACAGATAAGTAGAACCAGGTTTCTTTTGAGGGTGCCACCTCTTTCTTGAGTGTGACACTGCTCTGCTGTGAGACAGACCTAAGAGCAAGAGTTTCCGGGCAACTTCTACCCCGCGCGAGCATGTCAGTCAGCACGGCATTGGTTTGAAAGATCGTGAAACCCAGAACCCCATTCTCAGGATCTTGCCAATATGAGTTTTCGGGGTTTTGGCTGACCCCTTGATTTTGATCCTTTTTTTGACACCTTTTTTTAACACATAATTTTGATATAATTCTTAGAGTTTCCGGTTGACTTGATTTCCTTCCCAGGCTCCAACTACTTCCTCAGTTTCGGTCGGATCTGGCCCGAGAGACCATCACCCACCACCGTCTCACACTCTCAGCTGACTCTTGGAATTTTCCTTGAAGTCCCAAGTCGCAAGGGGCCTCTTCCGGCTGTTACCATATACCTTTTAGCCCTCATGGCGTTTTGCCCCCCCGGTACGGTGGGACAGCCACGCCCCATGTTTCAGGAGCTGGAAGGTGAACTGCTTCGTCTGCAGGAGCGGTGCTTTGGAGTGGAGTGACTATGCCAGGAGTGACTAGCAAGCCTGAGTAGAGAAGAGGGTGCAAAAGACAGTAGTAACTACTGAGTAGTTGAGGAGTTGGAGTCAAGCCAAGCACCAGAGGTTTAGACTAAATTTTTCGGGCCTTCATGGGTTGACTCTTCTCAGGAGAAGTTGGCTCAAAGTGATAAGGAGGCAGGGAGCCACAGGAGCCCAGTGCCGACCCGACGGTGTCGGTGGCGTTTTCCTTCGGGTCTCCGGACCGACCATGGCGCACCAGGTGCAAGACAGCACGGCGCAGCTGACCTTGGCCAAGGTGCGTGTTCTTCTTTCCTTTTCGGGAGGAGGAGGAGGTCTTGGGTGTTGGCTTGGGCTGTTGAGAGGAGAAATCCAAGTGGCTGGCCTATGGTGCAACATTTGCTATCTGTTTTTTTTGATGCGGGGCACAATCTAGCGATTTCAGGCTTGAGCAAAGATTGGAAGCCGGACCAGGTGTCATCTTCTTCATACACACGTGGGCCAGTTCTTTTATGACGTGCT